CTGTAGGGTCCAGTATGAAGCTGATGGGGAAATAATTAATTAAAATTGAAAATAAAAATTAAACTAAAGTGCAGTTAGGGCATCAAAATATTGAACAATCTTTGGCCATTATGCTGTAAAACCCACTGAACTAGAAATTGAAGGGTCCTGGAAAAAAATTAACTTATTCATATCTCTTTACATGAAGATCAGCATCATAATTATAATGTACATGTAGGTCAGGATGGATGTTTGAGTTGAGGAGGGGTATTCAAATCGTGGGATGAGTTAGAGGTAACCATTTCCTCGGTACATTCTGTATTTACAGTAGTTTAATGTACTTGTTTCCCCGACTCAGAACCCCAGGCAGTCCTGTGGTTACATTGATTGGGTTTTAGTGCCAGGTAATTTGATTTTTAGTGTCCGCAATAAAATGTTAGCTGTTGAGGTGAGACAGTAATACACACCTGTGGTAATGGACAAATTGGTCAATTACTGCCTGGATGGTCAGATCTAAGTAGGGGTCAAGGTGGTCCTATTAGTCTTGGGGTCAGTCCAATACTCATCAGTGTGATTGCCTGTTTACCACAAGTGTGTATTATACTGATGTATCAGCGGTCTTTAGGGGAACTTTATTGTAGAGGAACTTTTATTGTAGGGAAACTTTATTGTAGGGAAACTTTATTGTTTCCAGGGGAACTGTATTGTACCACTGGTGAATGTAAGACACACTGGTCCATTAGTGAATGAAGCGGGGAAACTTCTTTCATCTACAACAGTTATAGCTAATGTTAGCAAACTTTCAATAGCCCTGACAAAATCTAGTGGCCCGTGGGTGTCTGGCAAGTGGAATTGCACATCCGTTAATTTCTTTGTAGTTCAAAAAATAAGTTCAGTTTTATTATGAATATGAAGCTTTGAAGTGAGTTTGAACCCATAGCTAGATCGTCAAGTCAATGCCTTTTCTCTTGTGTCGGACTCTGCTATGGCGATCTTACCTAACGCTAGCTTCTTTAGGTGTGGGAGTCACAAATGTTATTGATATTTATGATCTGTTGATATTGGGGAAAGGAATTATTATAAGCTTTATTTTGTTTTTCAATTCCTTGCATTTATTCATATTTGTACAGTACAAAATAATGTTTGTTGTCTTAATGAATTAAATACTATCAACAATAAGCAAATTTATTATTCATATTTTTGTACAGAAAAAATATGTTTGTTTTCTTAATTGAATGAAATACTATCAACAACAAGCTGCATCTGCTATCGGCCATTGACATAAAGTTCAACAGGGAAGTCTTTCTTCATACTGCGATAATCTCTAACGTAGGTTTCACTGTATAGGAAATATTGATGTAAAGAATTCTACCAAAACAAGGTGTGTATACATGTATATCAGATAAGTATAATCTGTTACCTGGTGTGTATATATATAGGCTTATGCTACTTGGACACACAATTGTCTGTGAGCTTGATTTCAATTGTGGTCTGACCTTGTTGGTGTTATTGTGGTTTAGTTAAATAGTTGTTTTGGCACTTTGTGCGACGGACCTAAGTAACTTACATTACTTATAATCTGATGTCATACAAGACTTGTCAATTTGACCTTGACTTGGTGTTGGTCAAGCACCTAGAATGGTGACAGACATGATCAGGGATATCTTAGACTTGGTATTGGTCAAGCACCTAGTATGGTCAGACATAATCAGGAATATCTTAGACTTGGTGTTGGTCAAGCACCTAGAATGGTCTGACATGACCAGGGATATCTTAGACTTGGTGTTGGTCAAGCACCTAGAATGGTCAGACATAATCAGGGATATCTTAGACTTGGTATTGGTCAAGCACCTAGAGTGGTGACAGACATGATCAGGAATATCTTAGACTTGGTATTGGTCAAGTACCTAGAATGGTCTGACATGATCAGGAATATCTTAGACTTGGCGTTGGTCAAGCACCTAGAATGGTGAGACATAATCAGGAATATCTTAGACTTGGTGTTGGTAAAGCACCTAGAATGGTGACAGACATGCCCAGGGATATCTTAGACTTGGTGTTGGTCAAGCGCCTAGAATGGTGACAGACATGACCAGCGATATCTTAGACTTGGTGTTGGTCAAGCCCCTAGAATGGTGACAGACATGACCAGCGATATCTTAGACTTGGTGTTGGTCCAGCACCTAGTATGGTCAGACATAATCAGGGATATCTTAGACTTGGTATTGGTCAAGCACCTAGAATGGTCTGACATGATCAGGAATATCTTAGACTTGGTGTTGGTCAAGCACCTAGAATGGTGACAGACATGACCAGGGATATCTTAGACTTGGTGTTGGTCAAGCACCTAGTATGGTCAGACATAATCAGGGATATCTTAGACTTGGTATTGGTCAAGCACCTAGAATGGTCAGACATGACCAGGGATATCTTAGACTTGGTATTGGTCAAGCACCCAGAAAGGTTTGTCACGAACAGGAACAGTCAGTAGTCAAGTTCCGAAAGCTTGGAGGGTAGATACTGGAATGAAAGAGGTGTCATCCCAAAATTTTACCCTCCGGGGTGAATGAGTTAATGAACAACCAGATAATTTGAAAACAAGTCCCAATAAGAAGTTCACATGTACTGGAAGGAGGTCTATATCCAGGGTTTACAGATATGTCAGTGTCCTGTTTGAAGTAACTGTGAATCTTTTATGATGTCCAGTCTGGCTGTCTGTGATAACTTCCTGTACCTATACTCCCTGGACAGGTGGGAAGGTCACATGTGAGAAGGTCGTAGGTTATAGGTCACTTGCTTCTCTAATCAGACCAGCTGATTCAGAGCGGAGATATTCCAGGTCAGATTTAGCCCGAGGCTGTACAGAGGAATACTCCCTGGACTGGGCGATAAAGTTGTCACGGTAGACCTTTAAATGTATCGGCCTGTTTTCGCTGGATAGATTGTGTCGGGAAGTAAGGTATACTTATCACAAGTGACCAGTAATTTTGAGGTGATAATGTTGACCTGTACAGCTTCGGACATGATTTTTGTTGACAGGGCAATTGTAAACTGTCATGTAAGGCCAACATTAAATAATTGTTTGTTTCCCCCTTTACTGACCCAAGTGTTAAAGCCGTAGGTAGGTAGGTATACACATAGGGTAGGCAGGATAATCAAGATGAATTAAACTTTTATAGGGAAAGCAAAATAATTCTCCTGCCTGCGTGTCCTACCTATGGCTTTAAGACTAAGAATCTTGTTGATTTCCTTCATGTATATTGTAAATGGGTAGTAAGTCTCGAGGTTGAAGTATTTACAAACAGCATGTTGAAGAGTGCTTCAGTATGATGGTCGATGGTCGGAGTAGGATTAGAGAGGAGGACCATCTCCAGTAACAGATTAGTTACAAGTCACTGACAAAACCTGTCCGACACGCCTTATAACTGAGGGCTTTGAAATGTCACAACTCTTCAGATTTAATGCTTACTCTTGAAAAATCTGTCCCAACTAGAGGTCAAGGATTTGAATTCTTATATACTTGGTGTATACAGCGTAAACCAAATATTACTCAAGCTTAGGCATATATACCATCAGATAGATGTCTGGTACAGAATTCATTCACCCCTGAAGACACATTTGAACTCCTCCATTTCAAAGGTTGGATTAGTTCATTGTGAAATTTCAGGGGTGATTGAGTTAATACCAAAAAATAGATGTCAGGTGCAGAATTTGTTAGGTTTTCCTTTTATTGTATAATATCCTTCCTGAAAAAATATATACCATTCATTTTTCAATTATTCTTCATCTTTTAAGGGAATGTGTCCTCTAAATAATTTGATATTAGCTGTGCTAGTAGAGGATAAAATGTGTAAAATGTTGTGTAGGATCATGTGGGGTAGCTAGGTTATGTGGCTTGTTGGATATTTAGGTTAAGTACCATACTGGGTATCAGTTACTTCAACCCTTATGTTTGGACTGACATTTAGATGGATATATTTAAAAAAAAGAACGGTGTTAAAATCCTGTTTGCTGGGAATGATTTAATTGTCGATAGAGTACCTATTATTGTGATGACCTGTTGCTCTCCGAATGTTGGTAAAGTCAAAACAGTGTCATAATTGAGTAAACTTCTACGGAATGTTGATCAATATTATCGCACCTTTTCGCTGTCGGTCACACCTTCGATAATAACCTCAATCAGTACAGGTATTTCACAGTCAACTTCTCAAGTACGATGAGCCCTGGGCAGTGTTAACGTTTCCGACGGTATTTGTACCCTTAGGTACACAGAAAGCTTAAGTGTATTGAGTACTCTTTCCATTCAGTTTAATATATCTATAAATATACCTACATGTATTTGTTTGCATAATGGATTACATAGCTTTATACACATATTAAAGGAAACATCATAACATGGTATTATCAATGTTTAAATTGTTTGTTTAGAATAGTCTTGAATAAATTGAAACATTTTAAAATTTGAATTCGTTAAAAAAAATATTTTCAATGCATTTGTAAAGTGTCGTTTCCACAAATGATTGGGGTTTGATTTTCAAGCTGATGTAATGGTAGAAAGAAGGTGTGGAGACACCATATATTAATATAAATAAACACACTTTGTTAAATCTGTGGTTCTTAACCCTTTCACCACTGTAGACCATAATGGACTCAACCAGATCAATGTATGGTAGAGTTTACTGAATATACATAGGGGTGAAAGGGTTAAGGTTAACACCAAATACTATCAATCTTGATTGATTCAAATTGTTCAATGTCCTAGCCAATAAATGGAAAGTGTCTATAGCCAAAATCATGAACTATTACTGTCAAAAGAATGAGTTCAACTTTGATTATACATGTATATATGAATGTATTTGGACTGTTAGTTTTAAAGTATGCATTGTCATATTTTGAAGATTTCATTTGAAAGCTACCCGAGTTAGATAAAATTCAGCCATCATAACATGGCCAATATGGGATAGATTCCGTTTTCTGACACTTGCTAATATTCATGTTTTGTTCTGCTTGTATATTTACAGGTTTGCGATACGCTGGTTAACCACTGTGCTCGTGCCAACGAGACTGACAACGATGGCCGCCATCCCCTCATTTTGGCCGCCCAAGAAGGTCACTTGGGTGTGGTCACTTGTCTTATCCAGCACATGGCACTTATTGACCACCGGTCACACGATGGAAAGACTGCATTCCGAGTGGCTGCATTTGAAGGCCACAAAGAAGTGGCCCGATATCTCATCACCATGGGAACCAACATCAGCTACAAGGACGCAGATGGTAGATCCACTCTCTACATCCTAGCTCTCGAAAACAAAGTCGACATGGTTGCCTTCATCCTAGAGATGGGTGTCGATGTAGAATGCACAGATATAGAAGGACGCACAGCTTTACACGTGGCTGCCTGGCAAGGTCATTTTGAGGTTGTAGAACTTTTACTGCGATACAACACAAACGTGAATGCCGTGGACAATGACCAGAGGACAGCTTTGCAGTCGGCTGCTTGGCAAGGTCACGACAACATAGTGCAACTTCTCCTCGAGAAGGGGGCTTCTGTAGACCACACATGTAACCAGGGGGCCACGGCTCTGTGTATCGCGGCTCAGGAGGGGCACGAAACTGTAGTCAAGGTTCTCCTCACTTACAAGGCCAACCCAAACCATGCCGATCAGTTCGGACGGACTCCAGTCAGGGTGTCGCTCAAAAGTGGACATTCCAAAGTGTGTAAAATCCTGGAGGAGTTTGGGGCCGTACTTCCCAGTAGTAGTAAAAGTCGCAGCAGTTCATCAGCGTCGAGTAATGATGCTCGACCATCATGTGTTTCTGGGCCAGTGAATGGTGTAGGGGTTGTCGTCAATGGCAACCAGCTCAACAGTTCACCCTCGGACTCTCCAGATTCCACATTTGACCGAAGGAAGTCATATGCATCTAACAATTCCTCAAAGTCATCTAGCAATCTGACATCGTCCACCAATCAGAGCTCACAGAGCGGAGCCACGACGACGACGACGGCCAATGGAGACTGTCTGACCTTCACTCAACAGTTACAACAGTGTTCGATGGCGCGGCACCGCACACGTCCAATCAGCCGTGTCCTGTCGCCCGTCAGTGAACCACAGAGTCCAGTACAATCACCACCAATGTCGCCAAACACAGAGGTGCAGAAAATTGTAGGAAACGAGCAGAAACTTTCGCCAGTGACTGAAAGGAATTTCAACATTCTTGGGCCGTCACCGGTCAAATTTCCCAACTGTAAACACAAGGAAATTAAGGCGACTATAAACATTATCACAAATCCTAATCCCGATTTGTCGGAGGAGCCAGTGTGGCTGGTCAATCATGCACATTTCCAAAACAATTTAGAAAAACTACGGTTAAAACAAAACGCTTTGACGTGTGATCAGCCGATAATGGGACAGAGTGCTTTAGAAATGCGGTCGCCAGACTCCAAACCAAAACGGAACGGAATTGTGACAAATCCCAAAATCAAAGGAGTTAACGGACAGTTTAAGAAAGTTCTAGAAAGGAATGACAAAATCATTAATGGGACAAATGGCTCGCTGATAAATAACGAGCACAACATCCCAAGTAACAATTACAAGGGGCCCCCTCGACCTAACGGCCTACCCCTGAAGAAGGAGACGCCCTTGTGACTAGCACAGCAGTACACAATCTCCTCTGTACAGGTAAGCACCAGTGCTGTCAGTTGTCAGAAATCTCTAAGTCAAATATATGTTCTCGTTAAAAAAAATCGGCAAGTTCACTCGGAACATAAATATTCGCAATAAAAAATAAATAAATTAGGCATTGGACGATTGAAGCATCATACATACCTGGTAAGTCTTATCTGAAAATTACCGTTGAACTTTTATTTTCACTTGTAAGAACATGGAAATCTTGAAATCTCAAAGTAGTCCATTATTGTCCCATGGTATTTAATAACTGTGTATTTTATACATCATTTTTGATATCATATTAATCAAAGACTTTTTTGATAACTCCACCAAATTTGGCACATACATGTATAAGGATATGGTTAAAAAGATTTCTGAACAAATTTAGGGAAAACCAACTTACAGTCTACATCCTTATAAAAATGTCTTTATTAAAAATGTTCTGACCGACTGTTTTAATGAGATTTGGCATATAGGTCCAGGAATTTGTTTTATACTTAAGATTTAAAAAAAAAAATCCTTTATCTAATCCATGTCTCATGATCCTATATATCCTGTGTGTAATATGGTTCTTGATCTGCTTCCTGATCCAGTATTAAATTGATCTGATTTAAGAATAAAAATATGAACATATTTTATTGGGTTGGTTCCTTTCAATATGGAATCTCATGTAATTTCTTTGGATTGAACGTAACCTTAACCTTTTTTTTTTTACAGAAAAATGGCTGAGGACAAGGAAAAGCCGATGTTGTTTGATCGCTGTACGGGGATTTGTGTGCGGGGATACCTAGGGGACCTGCATCACACAGGATTGACAATTTGGTCCGTGGCCTTGGGACTTCCAAGATTTATGAGTATGAACCTGGGAAACAGATCGGATCAGATCGGTAATGTTGGTCCGTCACATCTCCCGATTAGGTCATGTCTGGAGTATTACCCAAGTGCTTCGCATGGTGGAATATCTGGTTCTTGTGCAATATATATAGCCTGAAATACAAAAGACAAGGAATCAATAGACGGCTATTTAGGACCTATGCAGGATTCTGTTTTTTCTGTGTTATTTGATATTCTGCTGCCAATCTGTGTGTGACTGAAGCGGCAGAAATGGAATTTTATGCCGACATTTTCATGGTTTCTGGATTTATATGTACGTATCATTGCGACCATAAAAACACGGATATCGCATGTAGCAGATGAATTGGCTAATACGGATGTTGTCTTGAAGCATACGTATGCATGTATTGGCCGAGACCGACTAGGAGGAGAAGCCTCATTATCTGCCAGTTAAAGTGGATTACTGCGGCAGACATTACAGATAGTACTGTCCTCCATTAAGTGGTATCATCGGTACATAGCTTAAGCTTTTCGACCAGACGCAGTGCTTGTGCAATGGGTTTGACATTAGATATGGAAAGGCTTTTGAGAGCATACTCTCGTGGTCGCAAGGAATGATGCGGGGACCTTATCATTCGACTGTGAGATTACACAGAACAACCATGTTTTCAAAGACATTATGCGTTCATAAATCATCAGATAATATCAAGCGCCCCTTTTAACGTTGATACTTTCGTAATGTCTCCTGTAGATAATGTACAGTAATATAACTAAGGATGGCTTTTTATGATCATGGTGTCTGCTCCAAGTCTGTTACAGCTTATTTGCACAAATGTTGAGATTATTTTCTCTTTTGTAAATACTGAAGAATAACTGAAATATTGAATTAGAAAAAATTCCATGCCATTTGGATAGAAAGGCTTTTCTTTTGTATGTAAACTGTAGTAGACTTGGATAAGAAAGGTTCTTTACGATATGATGTCGGCTCATTAATTATGGATTGAACGGCAAACCCATACTGGTGCTCTATATATCATTCATCGCAGCTGGTGTCATATTTGCTATGCAATCCATTTTGTATATTGTTGCAAAAACATTCATTTTGGACACAAAAACGAGTTCTGTGTGGTCAAAGGGAAGTAACTCTTAGAACTTCTGGTGCAATATTTGTGTGTGTGACATGTATAGAAACTGCAGTATTACTCTGGTTCCAATAATTATCATAAAGTTTAGAAATATTTCATAGGAGATAAAATAATCTAGAAGAAGTATTCTTCCATTACTTAGAGTAATTCATTTATTCCATATATGACTTCGAATTGGTGTTTACTGGTTAGGGAATTCACTCTTGGAACAATATTCTTATTAAAGTTGGACTAAAACTATTACATGTAATTTTGCCATTATAGTTATCTTTTTTCAGGCCATGCTTTTATATAATCTGCTTTTACTTTATACATCCCAAATAAGCTACATTATAAAGGAGGTTTATGATCTGGATTGAAAATGAGGCAGATATGCTGATCTATATATAGACGTGCAAACCTGGTATTGTGTGGTGTTTGTAAATACTGCTGCTATATATTATACGCCTGTGTATAAACTTCGCGTGTAAATAGTTACAAACTACGACTGTGTCTGTGATTTTCTATAACGCTATTCCTGTAACATATACAGTAAACTTTAGTCCCTGTGTCACCGTCAGCGGTGCAGTTTTTGTCGTGGTGCAGGTACGCGTGTAGAGAGTGCTATGTGTATAATGTACGTGTGTGTGCGTATCCATGTGTGTATATATATGTAAATGTCATTTTAAGATCTGATCAGTTAAAGAATAACGTTATCAGTAGTTTCAGTATTTCATTTTTATAGAGAATTCCCATATTTGTTTTTGTACAATACTATCAACATTGCATAAAGGTTTATATAAACTGGTCTGTTAATTCTGTCAAATATATTGTGTAGGGTTGTAAGACAAAAGTACAATGTATGATGAAATACCAAATTGTATTACATATGCAGTGATATATATAGAAAAGGACAATGTTGCAGGACAAATGAGAATGTTGTATAACAAATTAAAGTATGGTGCGAGTAGACTGGGTTGTATGATAGAGTACTATGTCGTATGACAAAGTACACAATATTGTATGACAACGTACAATGTTGTATGACAAAGTACCCAATATTGTATGACAAAGTACACAATATTGTATGACAAAGTACAATAATGTGTGACAAAGTACAATACTGTATGACAAAGTACAATGTTGTAATACAAAGTACAATGCTGTATGACGAAATACCATATTGAATGACAAAGTAAAATGTTGTATGACAAAGTACAATATCTTGTGACAACAAAATACAATGCTGTATGACAAAACACAAGTTTTAAAAAGAAAAGTGCAACAAAATGGATCCTTCTTATACAGCCCTGTACAACATTGTACAAGAAATTGGAATCCTTGAGCTTTCTTTGATTATTGTACAAATTGGAATCTTACAGGTGTTTGTACTAACTGAAGCTGACAATCGGTGGCCCTAGTAATGATTATTACACATACTTGTCAATATTGTCATTGATTTACTGTTACTTGGCACGATCGACAATGATTTACCTGTGCATGTCAGCCCAACCTTGTACAAGCTTCTGACATATTCTTGTGATATTGAAATATGTCTTAGATGTAAAAAAAAAAAAAAAATGATCATCTAATCACTTGCTAATGATGTTAGAAGATTTTTTAAATTGACAGTTTTAGTTTACCGAGAATCCATACAGGAAGTTTTAAAAAGATATTCAGGATTTTATTTGCAAAATAATGATACCATTAATTTTAAAATATTACTGTGGACAGTTGTATGTCTGCTTAAGTTAACCCATTGAACTTAGTTGAAATATGAATTAGGCAAATTTAATTTAAATTATTTAAGTTTTTGATTTGGTAAAAAACTGTTTATAAAATGCATTCGAGAAATATAAAATGATATAATTATTATCATATATTATTTACAAAACTTATCTCAACCTTATTTAATTACAAACTTACCACGTTCATTAAGTTATGCACTTCAGTCGAGATCTAAGTACTTCAGGTAGAAGACCAGTTGGGTGACCATAGTAGTTGAATAAAAGTCTAGAGGGTAGAAACAGTACTACATGTATATTGATAGTAAATATTAAAAATTGAAGGGTTTTTTTTGAAAAAGAATCAAACTTAGAAAACTTTCCATATTTTAAAGCTTTCATAATGTACTCTTCGTTCACAGGCTTTTTGAGTTGGTAAACTCCCAAACAACATGGTCCTGTTTTGTGTGTAACGATCAGCTGGAGTGTTTAGATCACAACTGAAGTAGCAATGTGGCCATGCCACAACAGCCACAACTGAAGTAGCAATGTGGCCATGCCACAACAGCCACAACTGAAGTAGCCATGCCACCATAGTAGAGCATATAACTTCGGGTTATAATCTTGTCCCTCTTGGATTAGTGTTTTATATATATACCTAGATCTGGAGGGGCTGACTGTACGAAGTTTGGGTAGAGAAGATAATGTTGAGTATTCCACTGTACAAGTACAGTCCTATAAACATGTTATTTGTTGCTTTGAAAAGATGTTGAGTTTAATTATTCCATGAAAAAACTAGTCATTTTGTACCGTAAATACCCTTGAATTTGGATGGTTTAAATTGTACCGTAAATACCCTTGAATTTGGATGGTTTAAATTGTAATTTTTTTCATCGCTAGATATAGTCTTTTATAAAGTGTCAGCTGTTTTGTTTTTTAAACGTTTTGTCGCAGTTGAATGATCTATCATGATCATTTAGCTGTCAACTTTTATGTTTTTTAATGCGTAATTAATCCTTCAAAATTTGAGCATATTTACGGTAATCCTATTGGCATATATATGTATGTAGATGTTCTATATGTTTGTGGGTTCTAGTACGTTTCTACTGGGATCTGTGTGTCAGCAATATAAACCAATCTGCATTTGTTTGGAATTTGAAAAAAAAAATGAATCTTTTTATTTTGAATGTTCGGCAACTTTAGACCACTCATATAATTCGTCATATTCAAAACAATTTCTAAATTGTTAGCTACGTTTGATCTATTTCATGCAGGTAAACATTGATTTGCTATTAAGCAGTTTAAATATCATAATTTATCACTTATAATA